CTATCCTCTAACTCTTTATTAATATCAATAAAAGAATATATAACATTACAAGTACATATACAGTTAATTGAAAAAGGAGAGGTAGGGGTAAGAGCTAATTTACTCTCGACCTAAGCTGTGCTAGAAAGGTCATAGGCCTCTAGTCTTCATATACTAAAAGAATAGAAGAATGTCCATTCTTTATATATTAAGCTATTTTTTTTAAAATAACGTTTAGAAAAATAGTGATAGTCTAAGTATGTATTATAAATGGAAGTAGGTTTGGAATAAGAAAAATTGAAGAATATGTTATCTGTCTTGAGAGTAGCCAGATTTCATGATATACAAGTTTTATAATAAGATGATATAATAGAGGTGCATATTTTGTTTTATCTGTATATCTTTTAAAAGAAGCTAGTATTTCTGTTGTTATAAAACCAAGTGAAAATTCTTGTTATATATAGGTCTGTTTGAATACCAAAATGAACTTGTTAGTATGAGTAGAGGGAATTTGAAGTTCTTCTAAAATTGCTAATATCGTATCTCTTATTATACTATCTATTGTAGTAGTATTTTTCAAGCATAAGATAAGGTATGTACTATTTTCAGTTAAAGATAGATAGCGTAGGCAAAGATAGTTATTGTATTTTGTTGAATTTTTAGCATGTAAAGTTGAATAAGTAGGTAACTCGTTTGCTAATAGTTAACTTTAAAGTTTTTTAGTTTAGAGAAGTTTGAGTTAGTGCTTAGAGATAAAGGATGTTTTTCAAAAGAAATATAAGCTAAGATAGCTAGCCACTGAGTATCTCCTCTGCTATAAGACTATTCACGAATTCTATTTTAGTTAGCTCAAGTAAGACTATTAAATATTTTGAGGTTGTTTTTAATAATTGAACAGAGATAGTGTATGTAAGAAGTTTGAAATAGACATAGAATAAATCTGTTATATAAAAATTGTTAAGGGATAATATTGAGTTCGAATAGATGATCTGGTTTGAAGTTGTATTTTAGGTCTTTGTCTAAATTAAATGAGGTTAAGTTAAGTGCAGTAATAATAGCTTCAATTATAAGAAGAATAAATATGTAGTATGTTTTGTCTAGTGAATGTAGACAATGTGTTGGAATTTTTGAAGTATTTTCAATTAACTTTAAGAAAAGTACATTATTTGAAGAAATTATTAAGTTGGTATTAGATAAAAAGGCTATAATTATAAAAGCAAATAGAATAAGACAGGCTTGAGTAGTGTCTAGCCAGGAACTATTGAAGATTCTCCAAGTTGTTGAGGAGTTAGAGAGCAGACAGGTTGCTAAAGATTAGTTGTTGTTATATGGTGAACGAGGATGTGCAGATATAAACATATGTATATCATGATTTCTATTATTATTTTTTGAAATGTCATTCCATATGTGCAATGGAAAAGAGAAAAATGCATTTAAAGGTTGTGGTAGTTGTGTGTTTGTTTGAGAACTATAACATATTACTCTGTTTTCAGTTGTTGTCTGTGCAAGCATTAAGTTATCAAAGTTGGCATGTAGGATTTTTTTAGAATCAACTTGTAACGAGTATAGCTTGTTAATATCATATTGGAAGTAGCAGCCTTTTGTCTTTAGTCTAAGATTTTTAATATTGCAACTAGAACAGAGTGATAATATATTATCAAATAATAATATATAATAGTGTATAGATACTTTTGTCTTATTAAAGTTGTTGGTTTTGTCTATGTAATTATTCCAAGTAAGGACCTATGATTTTTTTTTAGAAGTCCATTTCATTAGAGTAAAAGGATTAGGATATATGAAAGTGGCTGTAATATTATCTGAGGATCTAATAAGTTGTTGTATCTCTATGAACTATTTTGGTATGTATCCCCATAGAATTTTAAGGAAGTTGTGATATATACTAGTCCAGTCCAAAAGTTCGTTATTCGTGTGATTGAAAAATTGTTCAATATAGTATATTTGGTGTTGATTAAGTTG